GTTTTATAGATGAGTTAAAAAGAAAGAAAGAAACATTTATTAGGTACGATGAACATCACTTAGCTAAGGACAGAGAACGTATACAGAAAAAAACTCGAGATTAAAGAGTGTGCCAAGTTTGGACTCTCCACGTGTCATTTTGTCGCTTTGTGCGAGGCAATAAATTTTTCATTGCAGACATGTTGTTTTATAGATGAGTTAAAAAGAAAGAAAGAAACATTTATTAGGTACGATGAACATCACTTAGCTAAGGACAGAGAACGTATACAGAAAAAAAGACAGAAATAGCACATACATATTGCAAGGAAATAAAAAGTGAACTGAGCACAATGCTATCCTGTCGCAACAGCGATGCCCATCGCAATAGGACTCCACTCAGCATTTGCCGTGGCCCACGGTGGGGAAGGCCACGACGCTGGTTTTCAGTTACATAGTATACTTAGTTTATTGTTATTTTCAAGCGAATGTATTATTTAACAACACATTTCAATGCCAGGCCAGACAAGGCAAAATTCATGAAAATAAAGTATTGTGATTCACATCTGATTCGTACATTATTTTTGTATCTTTGTAAGTTAATCACAGTCCTCAGTTAGTTACACAGGATGGCCAGGGAGTTGACGTTCAAAGCTAAAATTTAAATTCCCTACATCATGGTGTGTCAACTCCCTGGCCAAACTGCATAGTATTGCAGCAGTTAATTTTTCCTTCTACCAACTTCTTATTTTGACGACAATGTCTGACGTTGCTATGGCGATAGGTCATTTAATAATTAAAACAAAAAATGTAGCAAATCTTTTTAATACACATCTCAATTAACACTTTGGCTCGATTACAAAATGCAAAACTAATTATACATAAATATCAATAAGATTTAATTAACTTAAGTCTAGTTTCTTACTTAAGCGTGGTATTTTATTTTATAGAATCATGCCACTTTTAGTAAGCCCGTCATAATGAGCACTACCATCAGTCGCAAGAATTGACTAAGTTCGCAAACTAAGGTTGATCGTTGCAATTTAGGATGAAGTAAAATCCTTTGCATTCCTTTAGAGGCTTAAATAAGAAATGATGGGCACTCTGACAAATTGTCATCCCTTGTTTCAAGTTTCAGCGTTCAAGAATATTTTTTAAGACAAAGGGTAGCGTTAGTCGTCATTTACTTACCAAAATTCATCGCAATTTCTTTTGGTTTGTCTTTGATTTTTCTGATCTATGAGAGCGATAGGTTGACAATATTTTATGCAATGCCTTTTATTACAACGAAATTAATTAAAAAACATCGGCTTTTCTCTAGTGCAAAGCAAATACTTTAAATGACGTAAAATGGGCTACAGTTTCAACTGCCTATTCCTTTTTTGTTGCTCTCAAAAAATGGCAAATTCTTTGTGATATAACGAGACGACATTAATGGAAATGGATAGCTAGAATTGTGAGCCACTGTACAGACAGTATGCAGTTTATAGACGCCCTGCATTAATACGCAAACGATTCGAACTCGAAAGTTTTTCGTGCTAGCCGTACAGTCGGTACAGTAGTAGGTAAGTATGCCGTCGCACTATCCAGCGCATCTGTAAAAAACCGGCCAAGTGCGAGTCGGGCTCGCGCACAAAGGGTTCCGTAGCAGCAAATATAATAAACTTATTATGTCAATTTAATCACCCTATCTCAAAAACTATAAGAGATACTTTGATCAAACCAAAAATCGTTGAAAGAGTTAATTAGCATGCATCACCTCTATTTTTTTTAGAATTTTATACCCCGTAGTTATAAAAATAGAGGGGGGGGGACATACTTTTTACGACTTTGAGAGCTGATATCTCAAAAACCGTTCACTTTAAGAAAAATGTTTTTTAGAAAACTTTATATCATTTTAAAAGACCTTTCCATTGATACCCCACACGGGTATGTACATCGAAAAAAAATTTTCATCCCTCAGTTACATGTATGGGGGGCCCCACCCCCAATTCTTTTTTTTACTATTTAGTGTCATAATTTTGTAGCGGTTCATACAACACATATTCCCATCAAATTTCATCACTGTAGTACTTATAGTTTCCGAGTAAATCGGCTGTGACAGACGGACAGACGGACAGACGGACAGACGGACATGACGAAACTATAAGGGTTCCGTTTTTGCCATTTTGGCTACGGAACCCTAAAAATGCTAGTTGACATCTCGTTAACGAAGTTTCAGGACTGAATACTGTACATAAGTGGAATCCTGGTATTGGAAGTTGTCAATGTGTTTAGTAAGTACTAACCTCTGGATTTCAGCCCGCCACACAAACGCTATTCGTGGGAACTAGGGATGCCAGGTCCAAAAACACAAAAGCGGGACTCTGTACTTAATCTGGCCGGACATTTTACCCTAAAAGCAGGACATACTTTTTTTATGCATGACAGGGCAGGTATTTGACCGCAATCGTACTTGGTGTTAAGTGTAAGTTATGGTACATATCAGCCCTGTAAGTGCCTATTAACTCTCGCCTTGAAAAGGCCCTAATTATAGTATGTTTGCCGATGTGTGTTTGCGGGGGAAATAGTATCATAGCTCAAGAGTGAGTACTATCAACAACTATCATCTTCGAATCGGTAGTCCAACATCCTGATACGCGCATATGTGCTCGATATTATTCTGTGGCTCGATTTTCGACTGGCGCAGCAGTCACATAAAAAGCCCAACAAAAGCCGGGCAGGCGGGACAAGAGATTATTTGGCCGGACAAGTCTGTAAAAAGCCGGACACCTGGCAACCCTAGCGGGAACTGATATTGTTCCTAGAATAGACATGTTGACACCACCAATCAATTGACGTACTTTTTAAACTGTCAAAACGAAACTCTCCCATAGATTATGTATGGCACTACAAGTAAGTGACGTCAGTATTTTGTCAACTCAAAGTAACTACTTTTTTCAATTATAATGCGATCAAAAATCGTAATTTACAGGTAATTTAAGATTAATTAAGTTTTTAAGACCAGAATGAAGTGTCTTTTTAGAAAAGTTGTGATTTCGAATTATTGGAGAATGGTGTCAAATTGTCTATTCGTAATAGACTCTTGGGTATTATTGAATTTGAATTTTCTAAATTGAGAGACCACGGAATTTGTAAGAGTAAATTCTAGAGACAACATATTATAAACAAATATAATTTTCATAACAATGCCTTTTAATCTCTTATTAAAGCATAACTATTGTACAAGTATTTTAATAGTATTAATAACAATCATTCGTAAGTATATTTGACATGTTTTAATGTTAAACATTAAGTTAACGAATAAAATACTAACGTAAAAATAAATGGTTATTAAAAAAGACACTGATCCATTCCATTGGTAGTTTTTTGTTTTACATAAGTTTGATGTATGATACATTTTATTAATTTAAGTAATTACAAACGTTACATGACTCTATGACTTATAAAAATAATGAACAAAAATGTTAAATGCATTGCTATTTATTTACACTAACAATATATTTACACAATGAACAATCACAATTTTTATTCGTTGTTTAATCTATTAGGACATAAGTGGTATTTCTGAGAAAGACAAGAAAATTACAAGATTTTTTGTTTTATTTTTAACCATGACTTTGACATTTATTAAAAAAAAGTATAATTAATAGATAGATCATAGATAACTATTTTACGCCCGTATTCACAAACATAACTATGAGGACACACACTCACATTGCGCGTGGACGCACGGGATGACACACGAACCAATCACAGAGCTCCATTTAACGCTGTGCGTCCGATCTGCTGCTTTACTTAAGCAAGCATCGTTTGTGAAAACGGGTGATAGATTCTTAGCTTATTTTGAAATGTGAAAATTATCTATGATATCAAGTTTCAACAGTAAGAAAACATCTGTCCTATTTAAAAAAAATACCAAGCTTATTAGGAGAGATTAGTATTAGTAGACCAGGTATTATTTGTATCGTGTCTAACTACTAGCGCGATTTTATCAATAAACCTACATCTTTTCTTCACATAAAACAACACATATTATTATACATCATAGTCATATTCAGTTCTTCACATCAATGATTTATAATCCCAACTAATATTATAAATGCGAAAGTAACTCTGTCTGTCTGTCTGTCTGTCTGTCTGTCTGTTACGCTTTCCCGCTTAAACCTCGCAACCGATTTTGATGAAATTTGGCATAGAGATAGTTTGAGTCCCGGGAAAGAACATAGGATAGTTTTTATCCCGGTTTTTGAAACAGGGACGCGCGCGATAAAGTTTTTCTGTGACAGACAAAATTCCACGCGGCCGAAGCCGCGGGCGGAAAGCTAGTTATTAATATTTTCATGACATAATTATTAATAATTATGGCATAGTTGAAGCCTCAATTGAACAACGGGCATAAATAGTACAGTAAACAGCACATCTCCTATACATTTTTGTTTAAAAATCGCTCTTATTACGACTGAATAAGATGCAGTGTAAAGCTTGATGTGCTTTTATATATTGAATTGACTAATTATTCAAAAGTTGTTTATTTCTCTCTCTCGCATTCCTAAGCGTACGGAGCTCCTAAGATACGAGCTTCATTTTGTTCATAAAATAATTTAAGTCTAAAGCTGAACTTAGACACTACTTAAAACATTACTTTCCACTTAAAAATAGACTGCCTGAAATGATCTTTCTGGTATAAACACTGCTCGCTTGAACATTTTGATAAGTTTACAAATGTTTTTATAGCTCAGAGAACTGTCATGGGTTATAATCCCATCTAAGGCAGTAAATTCATTCAAGTGAAAAATTGCGTTTTAGATATTTAGCTTATAAATGCAAATATCCTAATAACCATTAAGTCACATATGAACGACCCTTACAAGTTATCAGGAAGAAAACACGTCACTGTTACAGGCAATACTCTTAAGTCAAAACCACTTTACATTTTTGATGATTTCCAAGTAATTTTCACTAATCATAACACTTTGTATGAATTGAGACTGATTTTTGCAGTGGTTTTGACTAACGCCCTTAGTCAATATCACTTTTGACTGATTTTTGCGGTCAAAAGTGGTTTTGACCGATTATGAGTTTTGACTGTAAATCACTACATAAAATTGCCACTCTTTCATCGCGGAACCGTAGCAAGACTATCGTAGTACTACTACGTCGTAGTAAATTCACGGATATGTAGGTGCTACGGCGTAGCGTTCCTACGTAGCGCAGACACTCGTGCTCACAGGAATTGTTCGCAAACCATAGGATTCTGCGCCTTTATCAGTCGCCCTCATGGAATTGAAGTTTTTACTCTGGAACAAGAAAAATCACATTTAAAAGGTTAAAATTGAAATCAGCTGGGAGTGAAGCAGAAAAGTGTAAGGGCGCCTTTTTAGACGCGTGAGGAACAGTGTTGCAGTCGGGTCTTGTCAGAAATTACCAGAAATAAAAAAAAAAAGTAACCTTTTTGAATAAAAAGTAACCTTCATACGGGTTGCGGAGCGAAAATGAATAATCATCAATCTATCTATCTATCTTTTACCTAAATTCGAAATTTTGACCATTCCATGAAGACCGAAAAGTGACCGGTCGGTCGTATAAAAACGTTTCCTGGATTTGCGTTTTATTATACAAAAACATTCGCTAAAACTCATTTTTTTAACAAATAATAAATCAAATTCATGTTTAAATGCAGTTTATGACATAATTTTTAAATTGTCACTATTAATATTTTTTACTGAATAACCTGTAAAAGTTAATTCTACAATTTCTGAAAAATCACCTAAAAGTAACCTTTTCATTAGTGTAACCTAAAGGTTACGAAAGTAACCTTCTGGCAACACTGCTGAGGAAGCGCTGCAATGGCGCTACTGTGGCACGGCCTGTGCCTGTATGTGAGCGGTACGGAAGGGGTGAATTTGACATAATTATGACGTAACAGAGCATACAAATCTGAAGCACATTTAACATTCCAAAAATACCCTTCCGTGTGTTTCATTGACTGAGTTATGCGGTAGTTCTATAATTTTCATACTATATCTATGAGCGTAACAACCGCACGTCTTTGTCACAGTGTCACATTGGTAGTGGCCCTGCAACTGCTGAAAATTGTATGAAAAAAATATCTGCAGCACTTCTTCACGCGTCTAATTTGAAGTAGCCTTTATAGCATTTGAGTGCTTTCGTCTGGTACCGAAATTTATGGTATTTATTAATTTATTAAAAGTGACATTTTAACACCAGACTAGAACCAGAGTGACTGACATAGCCCGCAGAATCGCTAACATCAAGTGGCAGTGGGCGGGGCACATAGCTCGAAGAGCTGATGGCCGCTGGGGCAGGAAAGTTCTTGAGTGGCGACCACGAGCCGGAAGACGTAGCGTGGGCAGGCCTCCCTCTAGGTGGACCGACGATCTGGTGAAGGTCGCGGGAGGTGCCTGGATGCGAGCGGCGCAGGACCGGTCTTTGTGGAAATCTTTGGGGGAGGCCTTTGTCCAGCCGTGGACGTCTTTCGGCTGAAACGAACGAACGAACATTTTAATGTGATTGCTTACATGCTTTAATTTTGCGTTAGTCCTCTTAACAACAATATTATTTTCCTAATAACATTACGCTAAAATAATGGAAAGCTTTTCCTGGAGACATTATGGAAGTAATTGAGTTTTAAAACAATTTCGGGAGTCTTTGGAAAGGAATAAATTGAGATTCTCTCTAAACGATTTGATATTTGCTCTTAGAATATCCTTTTATTTTTTAATCTTGTAGTCAAAATAGTATTCTTTTAAATAAATTAATACACGGTCGCCGCCATCTTCTTGGGATCGTTGGTCCACTATTGAAAAAAATCATCCATTTACTAATTTAACAATCTCCAGTCCGACGAGGTCAAGTATTCAGTTCACTGCGTCATAGACAAATTTTGTGTCAATTATTTTGTCGTGGAGATTTTTAGGCCATGAAGTTTTATTTTATCGACAGGAAGAATTAGAATTTACTTAAGATTACTTATCATTTGACAATACCTATCGTTATCTTTTATTTATTGTTGTGTGCATACTTATTAATATTTTAAACTTATTCAATCAGGACCCAATAGTTTGTTAAGATAGATGTTTGTTACTCCTTCATACAAAAAGGGTACAAGTAAAGTATTTTTGACTATTCTATTTTCATAGCTACCTAATCGCTAAACCCATTATAATATGAATTTTGGCGTAAATAGAGATAGAAGAAGGTCATAGACACCACCTTACGCATCCATTTGCCCTGATGTTATTATCCTGGAGACAACAAAACAAAACGTGTAACTAAATATCGTCCTCTTCCCTCTTAAATGCGTAACTGATCACGTTGTTTCCGAGGAATAATATTTTTGTTAGTGATAAGTGACGATAAACATTGTGTTGTAAGCAGTTATTAATATCACAACAAGCCTGTCAGACGCTCATGTTACGCTCATAAAATCTGTCGCTGTATCACAAAAGAATAAGGAAATACAAAATATAATACATAGGCTGAGTTGCAGTTGTTATTTTGAAGTTTGTTACAGTCAAAGACGGTGCAACACAGCCATAAAGCTCGATTAATAAAGGTCTAGTGCAGCGGCTCCCAAAGTTATTTAGTCTACTGCCCCCTTTGAGAATAAATTATTTTTAGCGCCCCCATTTTTGTAGTCAAGAGTCGAGCTCAGTCGGTGTCTAAGAGCCCTCCTAGTAGATGACGCCTCCCAAGCCTCTACACAACGTCCCGATTTTTTTCTGGGTCTCTTACCGCCCCCCTTTAAGCCTGCAGCGCCCACAAGGGGGCGTTATCGCCCACTTTGGGAAAGACTGGTCTAGTGGTTAACTCAGTCAGCCTGAGGCAAGACTTCAAAGTATGACCTGTCACGTCATAATTTATGTCAATGTCTTATCACCCCTCCCGTGCCGTTGTATGCCCTGAGTTGAGAACGACTATAAAGTTTCAGACTATTGATAAAGCTCAACGAGGAAGCTTTTGGCCTGAATCTCACCTGATGGAAAGTGATGATTAGGTCAACGGTTTATGTGTGGATGTCAGATGATGTTTTATAAATTAATACACTATTAAATTATAAAACATCATCATCATTAAATTGCTAATACTTACTTGTGACACAATTATTTTTACCTTAGTACCTATTCAATCAATTCAGATCGAGTTCGTAGTTCAATCAATTCAGTTCGAATTCTCTTGAACTTGGAAGATCAATGATAGCACCTGTTAAGTTTCCAGGACGTTGAAACTCCTGTTAATGATTAGAGTAAATTATTTACTTAGTTGAGTTTAGTGTTAATTTCTTGTCTATTTGAACTCGTGTAGTTCCCCGCTCGGGTTCCTACAAGGGCTTACAAGTTTACAATTTAATACACAAACCTCTAAGGTCTTTGAGACTCTTTGATGAATACCGTATAATTGATCTTCAATTTCCTTAATAACTAGCTTTCCGCCCGCGGCTTCGCCCGCGTGTAATTTTGTCTCTATAATAACGTGAGGCGGTTAGTGAAATCCTCTTAAATCTTCGGAAATTAAGTTATGAAACTTAAAGTTTAAAAACTTTTCTCTATTACCTGTTTTTTTAATTAACTGTGCACGCGTAAAAATGGCTTTAATGTTTTTCCCGTTTTACAATTATTTTAGCTCCGCGATGCTTTTAGTCGTAACATGATGTTATAGCCTTTAGATCCTTCCTCGATAAATGGGCCACCTAACACAAAAATATTTTTTTCAAAGCGGACTAGTTTTTTTTTAATTGGGCATTCGGTGCTATTCGGTTTACGCGTTGTTCTCGCCTACGTGATGTGGAATTTTATTTGTTAAAAGATTTTAGGTTACTTACTATGTTAACAATGTGGATGGTAAATGTTGTTATGGAATCTTGCTTCGTTATAATTTGTTGAAATGGGTCGATGTTGTAATTTTGGAAAACTATACAGGGTGACTTTGCGATCAGTATCCAAATTTTAAGGAGTAACTTATTTTGAAACCGCGCGCACCGGACAAAAATAATTAAAATATGAAAAAACATTTTTGTTTTCTTTACGTAAATCGATTGATTCTGAGTCGCTCCTAAAAATTTGGACACTGATTGCAAAGTCACTCCGTATATTAACATTCCCAACTTTCATCGTCCAATTCCATGATAGTATTATTTACATTAGTTCCGTTACACGTGGTGCTCATACTTTTAAATTATCTTCTAAAATTATCAGTTCTAGGAAAAGTTCAATTACGTTTGCGTTTGTGATTTAATTAAAATATATTTATAATTATTTAAAACGAATCGAATCAGTGTGATTTACTGTGTACGTACTAGCTCGAAAATTATATTAAATTAATAAACTGTTGGTATTCGTTTCTGGGAAAAGATGTCAATTATCAAAAAGTAATAAATAGCCTCTCGTTTGCTATTAATATTTCATTTTAATTTAATTTGAATCCAATAAATCATTCAGTTATCATTCAAAAAGAAACAAAACTCACAAGTATTTTAAGCGTCGGTATTTTTATACCTAAGTATAGATTTTTAGATAGATTAATCATTTATGTACTTGCAAACACTTAGACTAGGCGCAGACCATCGATTTTTCGTCGGCCGATAGTTTAGTCGGGCAGTTGATCAGTATGGGCATGTATGGAAGTGCTCAGATTACGCCGATTTGATTTGGCCGATTCTTCATACAAATTAAAATCGGGCCCAACTATCGGCCAACTAAAAATCGATGGTCTGCGCTTAGTCTTACATAACAATATTAAGAAAACAGCAGGAGACAATGACTACTCTATGTTCCAGGGATATTGCCATTTTTGTGATACCTGAGTAGTTGAGTACTTATTTGCTATTGTAATATTTATTTTACGTTATTATAATTCTATCGGATGATAACAGTAACCAATTTTTTATTCTTTAGTAGCTTTTGCCCGCGGCTTCCCTCGCGTGAAATTTAGTTTGTCACAGATTGTCATAAATTATAGCCTATATGTTATAAACAATAATACTGTAAAGTTTCATCAAAATCCGTTCAGTAGTTTTTGCGTGAAAGAGTAACAAACAACCAGACATCCATACACACTTTCTCATTTTTAATATTAGTAGGAAGTAGGAAGGATTTAAGCGAATAATAAATTAATGTCACTTCATTGACTCCCCAAACGCTTCAAGTAGCAAACACGCGTATTTCAGTCATAGCGTTTGACCAGTGGGGGGAAGGGGGGGGGGTCTTCCATTACCGTCCATTAGTCATTTCGACAGATGTTTACGGTCACGGTGAGCAAACTGAGTGACGGTTGAGTCACCGCATTTACATAGTGTCCCTTGGCAAGATTTTTTCGGTTTTCACGTAAAAGTCATACCATTAATGTACAGGCATTAAACGTTGTTATTTTAAGGTGCCACAATATTCAACTTGATATGCTTTCAGGCACAGGTTCAGGCGATAGCCTGTAACCATATTTATCTGGTACTCATCTTTCTAAAAGCGAAAGGTCACTGACTCACTCACTCACACATCACGAAATCTCAGAAACTACAAGCACCTACAAGTGCTAGGAGTCCCAAATTTTGCATGGGTACCTTTTAGAACGTAGGTGCTCACTAAGACGGGATTTTGAAAAATTCAACTCCTAAGGGGGTAAAACGAGATCCACGCGTAGTACTTAATAAAATGTATTTTGTAGTTGCATAAAGAAACAATAAACACCGCGTGGAAACTAAAACATGGGAGATAAGGGATAGACATCCATCCTCACAAACTGTCCTTTTATAAAGCACTGTAATCTATTATATCTATACTAATATTATAAATGCGAAAGTAACTCTGTCTGTCGGTCTGTCTGTCTCGCTTTTACGCCTAAACCACTAAACCGATTTTGATGAAATTTGGCATAGATATAGTTTGAGTCCCGGGAAAGGACATAGAATAGTTTTTATCCCGGTTTTTGAAACAGGGACGCTGCGATAAAGTTTATCTGTGCTGTGACAGATAAAATTCCACGCGGGCGAAGCCGCGGACGGAAAGCTAGTTATACTATATGGGTCAGTGAATAGAGGACATACGGCATAAAATCTCTTTGTGACAATCCAAGGATTTAGACAAAAGCACTCAAAAAAGGTAAAGCGATTAAAAGAAAAGAACTTAAACAAAACATTTACGAATATATTCTTTTACCACCAATTTGTTTTAGTCGGGATTGGGACTTGTTTTCCAGAACCTTATTGCCATTGAATAGGGTTCACACTTCTCATATTTCACGAACGTGACATTTTCCAAATACTTGAGAACGAGGAAGGCAGTTTGGTACGTGACGTTTGTATTTTAGACTCTATCTGTCACTCTCTCTCATAAGAGCAACATGACATGAGTAAAGGAGATAGAGAGAGATATGTAATTAATACTACATTGTCTTTTGAGTCCACATAGTTGTGACAAACCACAGGCTTAAAGTGTGACGCTGGTTTATTGATAACTAGCTGTGCCCCGCGGTGTCTCACCCGCGGTAAAACGTAGCCTATGTGTTAATCGAGGGTGTAAGCTAACTCTATACCAAATATTAAAATCTCTCCAGCTGTTTAGACGTGAAGAAGTAACAAACATACACACTTACAAACTTTCGCCTTTATAATGTGATGTTGTTTGTCGAGTTAATAGCAAACACATTGTTCATTGGACGACTTTTGATTTTACATTTAACCTCTTAGCCCCCAAGCGGTAGCCGGCTGCCGCGTAACAATTGATTATCTATTGTGTCTAGATTTGCGGAGCTTGAAGGATTAAATAGGTACGAAAGTAAGTAAATTGTTCAGAGTTCGGCAACTGTTTATAGTTTGGTTAAATCGAAAAGTTTATCCTGATTCAGCCATAATGGACTCGTCCAAAGCTTTATAGGTAGATACAGTCCACGGCATATGAGATTTTTTTTTATTGCAGAACAGCATTTTTTATTATTGCTATTTACTTACCTCTTGGTAAGGTGTTTTACCTTGCTGAGCTGTCGTTATCTATAGGGCTGATTAAAAAGTCGTATTTATTTAAGTAAGTAGTTAAGTTGTGAATCCCTTTCATTATGATATTAAAATATTTAATAATAATTTGAGAGTTTATCTTGGAAGATGTCTGGAACATCTTATTAATTATCTTTCTTAGCAATTACTTATTCTCAGCATTAATAATTTCTTATAACTAACTGGAAACTCATTGTTAAGCTTTTGATAAAGTAGTGTTTCTGAAGGGTATTTTTTGTTATTGATTGCTTGAGTTTTGTTAATATTAAGTGATTACGATATCATGCAGATATTTTAATCCATCTAAACTGGTAAATACAATCAGCATTAAAATATAATATATAACTTAAGTATTAGAATGTAATTGATGTTCATTCTTACTTCCATGTTCGTATCGTTCGCGACGACGCCCGTGTACGATACTTTTGGCGAGTGACGAGGCGAGCACGATAGTGTAAATGCGGCGTTAAAGGTAAATGAGTCGATTACAGATTTTTTAACGCTGACTGTACTTATGCATAATGAACAAGGAAATTCAAGGAATACATACAAATACATTTAAGTAAAGGGTTCTGCTTTAAATCTAAACAGCATGCAACAAATAATGTTAATCAGTGAACAACGGACCGTTTGCAATACATACGTGTTCTGGTTGTGAGAATCCGTATGCGACACGTTTGTAGGGATGAACCTGGCGAGCGGCGGCTGCAGGATCAGCTGCCTGAAGGTCTGCCTGAACTGCCTCGACATAGAACAATACAGCACGAAGTTGATCGCCCCGTTCAGCAGCGCCAGGAAATCCATCAATTCCCCGAACAGGTTGTAACAGCCTTTGAAGAAACACCACCCTAATAACCCACTCATAAGACCCAATATCCCTTGGGGCAGCTCTGTAACCAGGAACAGCAGTAGAACTGCTAGCAACATCTTTGTCGTTCTGTCAGTTCTTTTGTCTGCTTTGTTCTGACGCTTAATCATCTTCTCGGCTGCTGGGCAGTTGTTATAGTTCCTCAATAGCTTCTGGTGCTGATTTGCGTTGTATAACGCTCTGATCAGCCATATACTGATGACGGTTAGGATGGAACAAGGCAGCAGCTTGATCAGAACCGCGTGCACCCAGAAGTTCGCCTGGTATAGGGTGCCTTCGTAGTCAGAGTCGACGTGGTATGCTATGTCGGGGTTTCCGTTGATGTCCGTCACATTCTTCGTGTGAATGTCAAATACCTGCGGACAAAGGCAATGCATTCGATGTTAATTAATATTGTATGGTAAATAGCTGCAATTGAGTTGCAATTTGGTTACAAATTCATTTTATGTGAGTCATAAATTTACATGCGAGCATATCAGACTGGAAATGGAGCAAAATCGCATATATTACAAAGAATAATATACTTGATGTGCATCGTCTGCAGGGTGGGTCATAAATATTCTGTAATACGAGTAGGTGCGAACTCTTCTAAACTATCGATAGCTGTTTGATATAAATACTTAGAACGCAGTGCTTAGTTGAATATTCGTATAGATAAGTTTATTAATAGATCTTAAGTATTAAAAACGTCCTCGTCTGTCTGGTTTTTACACCTAAGCTGTTTCATGAATTTTATAACTGCGATACCAAAGTACCTAATCATTATTCAATAAAGAACGCATCTTTTTTTAAACAATGCAACCATTCATAAGAACTTAGACGATTCTTTTTAAAAATGAAAACCTAATCACGAGTACAGAATACAATAACGTTCAATATTTCACTCGCTAGTTAAATATTAAATTGAATTCTAACGAGTTTTAAAATTAAATTTCGCACGTTATTTTCAAAGAATTTACTTCATAACCAAAGTTCCTTTGCGATATTGCATAAGCTCCTTTGGGGTAGATTCAGGTTGAATACTCAAGTGAAATATTGTGCAAGTTAAATAGAATTTTAAAGGTGTTTTACAGCTTGCACACGACAATACGACGAGAAATAAAAACAAATGTAAGCTCCTACTTATGAAGAAGTTTCAGAAAACATTATATTTCACTGAATGGAATTAAAATATAAACCAAAACTAAAAAGACGGTAAAGTTTTTTTTGAAATCCATAAATGGCTGAGAAATTAATTATTTAAATTACCCACATATTTTCGCGTGGAACTCTAACATAGGAGGTTCCGTGACGTTTAGACGAATATTAAAGTTCACCAACATTTTTCACGTTAGTAGTTTTTGTGAGACGGAGTTACTTAAGTAATCCATCTTTTGATTCCAACTTTTAATATTAATATTGGTTTAATGAAGTACATTTTTTGTGGAATCTGAGGAGGCATTGCGGTGAAATGCATACGCATAATGGCGAAGTCCTCGTATCAATCAAATGGCATTATTAAATTGTTTGTAACCAGTCATTCTATTGCTCGAGCTACGAACTAGGGATGTTATGGATATGTAGTTTCGGTTATGGATATAGGATTAATATTATACCGGTTTCGGTTACGGTTACGGATATCTGTGCTTTAGAATGGAATTTGCAATAGTAGTCCAGTAGAATAAAAAGTAATCTATCTATCTATCTTCTATATAAATAAAAATGAATTGATGTTCGTTAGTCTGATTAAAACTCGAGAACGGCTGGGCCGATTGAGCTGATTTTGGTGTTAAAATGTTTGTCGTAGTCCAGGGTAGGTTTAAACGGTGAGCAAATAAGGAAAGATTTGCTTATTTATTGCCTTTAAGGCAGAACAGAGTTCGCCGGGTCAGCTAGTAAACAATAAAAATTGATAGTAGATGGCATTTTTTTTATTTTAGATATCCGAAAGTTTCGATTACGGTTACGGATATCCATAACATCCCTGCTACGAACTACTCATCACTTATCGCTTTCCCTTTGTCATTGTAATATATTTTCGTGATTTACGGTCGGTATGATATCTCATTAATTAGCGTGGAAACTAAATGATTTATTGTTTCAGATGGAATTATATCGAATGACGATGACCGCATAGTATTGGAAACGAGATCTACAGTACGAGTACTTTTTGCGTCTACATCATGTTTGTAGGTATAGTTGTTGACTTGCAATTCACGAAGGCGAGTGAGTTTTTTAAAATGTTTAAAAAAATTACACTATCGTTATGTGCGTGTACACGTACACACACAAGTAAAGCTCACTCGCCTTCGTGAGTTGCAAGAACTATACAAGTCTGTTAAAGCTGTTGTTTCAAGATCCTTCTTGCTGGGCAAAGTTAGTTTTCTCGAAGATAGAGCAACATAACCTAGTTTTTATAACCAGTTTAAAGCTAATTAGGTAGGTAAATAAAATTTAAATATTATTATCTTACTAGCTTTCCGCCCGCGGCTTCGCCCGCGTGGAATTTTGTCTGTCACAGAAAAACTTTATCGCGCGCGTCCCTGTTTCAAAAACCGGGATAGAAACTATCCTATGTTCTTTCCCGGGACTCAAACTATCTCTATGCCAAATTTCATCAAAATCGGTTGCGAGGTTTAAGCGGGAAAGCGTAACAGACAGACAGACAGACAGAGTTACTTTCGCATTTATAATATTAGTTGGGATGACAGATAATGACAGAGTGAATCTCCTCCAAAACCCGTCTGACAATCAATTTGCTTCTGGTAAATTAGAGAAGGTCGTGCTCCTGAGACTAAAATACCTGATGATGTTGATAAATCTGTACCCGTTACTTCAACTCCTCAACCTCCACTGGTTGGGTTTCATTCAGTGGCGTAGTGGTAGGTAACCAAGGGCCCTGGGGCAAATAAAAAAATGGGTCCCACTGCAATCTAAACTGGTTAGGTTTTATCAAAATTGACATTCTTCTTACTCCTGATACAGCTTTCGAATTTCTCTCTATTTATTTTTAAAATGGGAGAAATTTTCAATGTTCAGTTCAATTGAGATTTTCTGGTAAGGATTCGGGGGCCCCCTGAGCTTGGGGGCCCCGGGGCACTGCCCCGCCTAGCCCCTTAGTGGCTACGCACCTGGTTTCATTGGTGACCAAAGTGTAGATCCTGGCTAGACAAGTTGCAGTGGTGGAAAAAAGAGGTGGTATTTGACCCGTGTTTTTGGTACTCAGCACGAAGCTGTAGATCCTGGCTATACAGGAGTTGCAGTGGTGGGAAAGAGAGGTGGGATTGTCCCGTGTTCTTACTTACCATGAAAGTGGGCGTGCAGAGTATGGGCGGCAATATAAAGCTGGTCAGGATGGCGATGCTGCACCGCCTCTCCGTGCAAAGGATGTGGCTTCTGTCCGAGTACCTGAAAAGAGAACACGTTATAATATTTCTCCTTCACAATTCATGTAATTTCCCCTGAGACAAACTTGACCTTCACAGGTTGGGTTTTTATTGGCGTTAAAACTGTAGATCCTACACAGGAGTTGCAACAGTGGGAAACGAGAGGTGGGAATAGTCTCTTAATACACTACATAGGTGGTAGGAAACATGGCCTATGTTTCCCCCAAATGGAACATGTACTAAGTCTATACGATGTCTTCATTTTAAAAGTAAAACGTAACAGTAAGAACTTTCCTTGATTTGTTTTTAACTATTCAACTAAAATTAAATCAAATTCAGTTCACGCAGCCGCGCACGGAAACTGAAATAGGCTCATACAAAAATAGGCTGAAATTACAAAACTCTTTTTCAAAAAACAGGTAAAACGTCTGTAAAAAAGTTATGTAACCAAATTACTATCACGGCACACAGGTGCTATAAAATACTGATACCAATATCGAAACCACGTAAAAACTCACGACCGTGTAGTGAAACCACTTTGAAAGTTAAGGCTCAGTTACTACGTTATTGCGGCATCTAAAGGTTTTAATAGACAGCGGGCTTCGCAGCGCGTTAACTGATTTCTAAATACCTACAAAATATGAATGTGTTATGATTGTTATGTTACACATGCCATGGCATTAAAAAATGATGCACAAAAACAATAGTCTAAAAGTCAAATTTAAGGGCATTACTAGGCAATGACTAGTACCTACAAATGAGGTTCCCCCTGTCTACAGATACTTCTGCAGAGTTAAAACGACTGTAATAAAATTCGCAAAGATATTTTAACCAAATATTCAGGAATGACAATGCATGTATAATATCAACGAATTCGCCCGCAGTTTGTTAAAGCCCTTCGCGAGTCGCCGAGCTTCGAGAAGAAAACTATTTAATATTGTTCCGTTTTCATGTGTCGCCGTATTAGAGGTGGGCGCCGATATACAATTGGCCGGCGGCGGCGCGCCGACTTTTTGACCTCGGCGGCGGCGGCGTCGGCGGCGTGACCTTGTTTGACCTTTGTTCATTGGGTATTTTTTTAAATCTGCTTTTTTAGTATCTGTCGTCAAGACTAATCAGGTGATTTGCAGTTGGTTGGGGTTTGAGCCACTAGAGCAGTGGTTTATCCTAGTAAATTAGCTCTCTTGATCATAGATACTTTGACATTTGGATAGCGGTTTTGGCTGAGATCAGGTTCTCGAGTATTTCCTAAAGGCGAGCGTACCAATGTGCCGATAAAAGTACCCTTAACATGTATTTTTGAGCTCTTTGGAGGCACATAGTTAATGTTGGATTAGCTGACTGTCGGTGGAATATTATATTCAGTTCTGTTTTTTCTATATTTACATCAGTCACTTTGTCCTCCTGCGTCTTTCGTCCTCAATTAGCGTAGTAGGAATCAATCTTCTACTTTGAACTTAAGGAGGGTAAGTGGAAACGTGGCGGTCAACTCCTCAGATAGTCAAGTACAAAGATGTCCAGAAGCAGCATACGAAAAGATGCAAAATGGGCCCTCTCAAATCACAATGGGAAGGTTTGGCAGCACAGCACCTAGAATGGCGGGAGATTGTGTTGTGTAGAGGCGAGTCCGCGAATTCAAGGAGCAGCGCACAACTGAACTCGACGCAAAACGCGATGATGTAAAACTCTCAATGTGCGAGGAGTTTGCCGCGAAGATCGGCTAGGTAAGTCATCTTCGGGCGCACCAGCCCCGCTAAGACAGCTAAGTCGAAGTGGTCACCATGACCGAAATCGGTCTTATGAATCAAAGGCAGGCATCATAGCTGCAAGTCTCGGATCAAGTTCAATGCTTGATCTTATTTTTTTTATTGAATTGTTGATTTTTTGGATTATCCGTGTGAGAATGGGTTTAAATAAACCGGCTTGTCATGTAGCAAAGGTCTGAGATTTTTCTTGTCAGTTCGCACTCATGTATTATCGGACCTAATAAGCGGAGAACACTTTGAGGGAGGTACTTTGTTGCCTTCCAGAGGTTGTGGTTCCCATTTGCATTCCGAGACATATTTGCCAAACTCTGTGTGTGTGATTCGCTTAAAGTATAGTCCAATAATGTGGGTTGTCTGCCAGACGAAGGCGGGAATTTTTTTCTTGACAGCAAGAGGGACCGCCGTCTCTCGCGTTCAATTATTTACTAGACCAAGCAGCAACTTGAATAATGTACTTGATTAACTGTTAATTTAGTTAGTATTGAGTTATTCAATCGATTTATTAGTATATCAACGGCATTAAGTTGCGAAAAAATTATGCTAACCACATAATTTACATTAACTCAGACAGTCCGGCCGCGCTGATGGCCTTAAACTCCAACTTAATCACCTTAAAGTTGGTAGAAAACTGCATGAGTCGACTGAATACCCTAGGAGAACGTAACAGAGTAACACTGAAATGGGTTCCAGGTCACGCGGGAATCGTGGCAATGAAAATGCCGACGAACTAAGCGACGAGCGGAGGGAACACAATATGGTCCAGAACCCTTTTTTGGCATTCCCAAAAGTCTCGCTTGAATGACCCTGGAGAACATCTATTTAAACAAATCCTTTAAGGCATGGTCAGACACGCCAGGATTAACTCATTCCAAAGCTCTCATAAAAGTCTATGACCGAAAATGCTCTAAGCAGATCATAGGACTGAATAGGATCAAAATGCGCATCTTAGTTCGAGCCCTCACTGGACACTGCAGTTTAAACAAGCACTTGTCCACTATGGGACTGTCCGAATCAAGAACGCGCAGGATGTGCCAAGAGGCAGATGAAACGCCACCACACATTCTCACGGCTGCGGACCTTTGATGCGCAAGCGGAGCTTACACCTGGGCAAACACATCCTAAGCCCACAAGATGTAAAACATATCGCCCCCCAAAAGATACTGCAATTCCTAATGGATGCAGGACTCAGAGACGAACTGTAAGGAAAATAGCGGCGATCACAATAGATCGGTACCGGTCGTAGTGATACTAGGACTTTATTGAACTAGAATAGCCGCTCAACTCAATAAAAAAAATAGTTCTTCTGCGTTCGAAACACAGATTAGTACAGTATAGGAGAGGAATAAATTGCAAATAGTTTGTACAGTATCAGTATCGGCGCGCCGACAGCTGGTCGTCGGCGGCGGCGGCGTGAAAAAATTCGCGGCGGCGGCGGCGCGCCGGCGTGGCGCCCACCTCTACGCCGTATACCCACTATTACCCACCATAAAATACATAGTACCTATGATATTGCTTACCATTGGCGTACATAGATATCTAGGGTTCTTTTTGAGGGGGGGGGGACTGGCCAGTGATATGATTTGTCATTAGTGTCATCTCCCGGATGTTTCGTGTGCGGGAAAACTAGACGGTCTCCGGCCTGTCCGGTTTTGTGAGTTTTTTACATTTTATTGCTGGCGCTTAGCGCTCTCGCTCGATCGTGGAGAATTTTAATTCCGATGTTATGTAATTTAAGGTTAAATTAATAACTTTTTTCGATAACATTGAGGGCTGTGGCCTTGAATACACGGAGTGCCCTCAATTACTGCCTAGTTTAATAATTAGTTTTCTATTTCACTAGGTTTCATTCCTTTATCTAAATAGAGACCTACGCCTACGCTCTCTCAGCTCTAATATTTACTATGTTGTTTTAGTAGGAATACTAAAATAAAATAATTAATTTTATGAAGCCCACTCTTGACCTTTTAATAAAATAATTTGTTTCCAAAACACATAAATGAATCTATACTTAATATTATAAATGAACCAATTTTGATGAAATTTGGCATAGAGATAGTTTGAGTCCCGGGGTAGGATATAGGATAATTTTTATCTCGGATTTTGAAACAGGGGCGCGCGCGATAAAGTTTTTCTGTGACAGACAAAATTCCACGCGGGTGAAGCCGCGGGCTGAATGCTAGTAATAAATAAAGAAATTGACTTGCTAACGAGTTTGAGGTAAAAGAACACCAAACGAGATAAAAAAGTTGAAGATCTTACAAATTAATTTATAAATTGATTTAACTTTTTTGAAAGTTGAAACTCTTTCAAGATTTGTGTAATTTAATCCTCCGATTGAGTATCGTTTAATTACAACTTTTTAAGGGTTGATGGACATTTATTTTTAAAAATTCGGATCCGTGGACCGACGATCTGGTGAAGGTCGCGGCAGGTGGCTAACAAGTACAACACAACCATATTCCAATTGTACCAAAGACGTGTTGCGAACTTTTTGACTTTTTAGGTGGACGGACTATTTGACGCTGACTGTACCTGGATGCGGCCAGCGTAGGACCGGTCGTTTTGGAAGTCCTTGGCCTTTGTCCAGCTGTGGACGTCTTTTGGCTAAGATGAACGGACGAAAGGATATTTTGTGTTTTAATAACTATGTAAACCATGGTTTTCCTAAAATAAATAAATAAAGATATTCTTTTTAGAGCCTTAATCAGAGCTATCATTTTTGCACTCACTAATTGGCGGCTGTAGCGAGTGACAAGAACTACTTAACTGTGGCGCCAAAAAGTGACAGCAAATACTATTAACAGCCCTTTATGGTAGTCCGTAAGAGCGTTTTACGTTTATTCTTAGAAGCGCACCCATTTTCAAGCGCACCTAAATTCCTCGAAGTCCACCTTAAAGGTGCGCTAATGAAATCAATACACCTAAAAGCTGCGCTTCGTGGAATACCTCGGATAGTTCTACATCAATTTCCAATGAAATAAGAACAAAGGAAATACCTATACCTAGACTATGAAATGTTTTTATGTTCCGATGGGTGGTGTCAACAAACCATTTTTACCAACTTCAAAGAGGAGGTTCTCAATTCGGTTCGTATGTTTTTATATTTTTAATAATAACACAGAATGAATACGTTTTCGTTAAACACAAAAGGCGTGAGTAAGAACAATGAACTGGCGTCCAATAATAGTATCCACGGGAGGCAAATTAGCGATCACCTGTATTGTTCGCGAGACGTGCCCTGAGATGCAAGCAGGCGCAAATTGATTGCGACTTTATTCGGTGTGAAGGCGAAGTCATACCGAGAGAATGTTTCTATTTTTATCTTGGCTACACATTGCTAATGATTTAAAACATTTTTTTATAGACATGGCAACCAAACCTCCTATTTGGGAAGTTATTTCTGGCAATGTCGAATGTTTTTTTTTGATAAAGTACTTAGTCTAGGTACAATCAGCAGCAAATACACTCGCGAGCAAAACTATGGAATCACCCTATTTGTTATGAACGATCGTAAGAACTGAATGATATTATATACCTACTTTAAATTAATACCAAAGATACATTCATATGCATTCAGTTGTTATGATGGCTCGGAACAAAACACAAGGGGATGATTCCATACTTTTGCTCGTAAGTATAGTTCGTGACACGAAAGAAACCAAAAAGTCCGCAACACGTTTTTGTTACAATTGAAATAAGGTTGTGTTGTCAACTTTTTGGCCACTTTGGGTGTCACGATCTATTTGACGCTGGCTGAACAATAGAACATGGTGTTTTTTCACGGATTTATGCAAACAAGTATTTCCATATTATGTAGGTTCCAAAACGCCATCGGGTTCAAGCTTGTATACCTAACTTTGACCGAAACTAGTGACTTTTGTATTGATTTTGACAGATTTTTGACGTTTGTTAAAGTTAAAGTAAGAGGGTGCAACTCACCCTAAAGTTCATTAAATCTATTGTTACAGAAACTTTTGGGGGAGGTTTTTGTTCAAAAGTTTGATTTTTCAGACGTAATAACGTGATATCGGTGTTAAAAACAGCAAAAATACAAATCAAAAATATAAAGAAGTTCTGCGCTTTAATCAAAGGAGAAGTGGAAAACTTCACGACGGCTTAAGACATTCTTCAATCTGTTTTTATTGCGAACGACACGAGGCTCAATGTAAAGGTATATTCACATTTCCTTACGGCGTTCGACATTTATGAAATCCTGACCGACAGGACTGGGTTACCAATTCCGAAAAAAAGTTTCCCTCGTTTCGCTTTCATTGACTATCTTCGTTACCCGTATTTTTTCCTCCGAAGGGTATTATTAGGTAATTTTCTATTTACATTTTCTGTTATATTTTTAAGTACAATTTGTTGTGTTATTTGAAAAATGTTGTGAGATCCTGTTATTTCTAAGAAACACAATTTAGTTATGGCTGTTAATAAAATAAAATATCCTTTCTATTCAAAATATTCTGAAAATTTTCCTGACCTAAACTTTGAACTTCATTTCAGGAAAATTTCCACTCTGACAATCGTACTGATCGTACCAATGTGAAGACATCTTATCATGTTCTCACGTTGATACGTTTGATTAAATTGGAGTCCACTTACTTGATGGCTATGTATCTCCAAATAGCTAGCGACAGCGTGAGGCAGATGGACGCGGTGTGCAGGATCTGAGCGAAGTGCATGTGGAACAGCATGTATATCGCCCACGAGTACGGGAAATCCAGCTTCTCTGGCAACACCTAATAGAAATTTAATAAAATCAGTATCACACGGTAAAATGTACCTATGAGAGACTTTTCTGGCGTAGGTATTCGCCAGTTTATTGAAGATACGTTTTCAATCTTTCGTTGGGTGACAGTTATTGAAGTCTGAGATGTCAACAATGTGGTATTGAAGGCATGATATTAGTTTATTCATAGCATTGAATTAAACGTTCAATATTTGGTGGTTATAGTGTTATGGCCTGTCGTTCTGGTAGTACGTTATTTATTCATTTACTTACTTTTTTTACAAGTGAGCATTCACATCGATCAAAGCACTCACATTGCCAATTCGAAGTGATTAAAGGCAAACATAATTATAGTTTCTCGCAGAAAGTTTATTTGGCATAAATCGGTTTCATCAAAGCAAATTTGCAAAGGACTTTAAGTACGAGTAGGTTACCTACTTACCTGTCAGATCCGTACGGCTAGCACGAAAAACTTTCGAGTTCAAATCGTTTGCGTACCTACTCGAATCACCATCAAAAGATTTACTTAGTACGAAAACTACAACAGCGATCTAGTGAACGTGTCGTAAAGTTAACTTACTATGAGAAATGGTTGCATGAAACTTATTTTAAAATCAAAATTGTCACGTTATCGTTTAATTCGAAGGATGAGTATCGAATTTTATGGAATACGCAAACGATTCGAAGACGAAAGTAGTTCATGCTAGAGGTACAAATCTAAAGCCTTTGAGACACATTAAGCTCGTATTACGAAATTACGCTCCAAACTATCAAAGACCCCTTTGATTGACGAAACACAAGACATGCCTAAAATAAAGCTTGTTAGATAGTTACGAGTAGTATCTAGTTTCATGATCGGGACTATTCCCACCTCTCGTTCCCACCACTGCAACTCCTGTGTAGCCAGGATCTACAGCTTCATGATACGGGATTCACTGGAATTTTTAGAAAGGCGTGTAAAAAGTCGGCGTCAAATACGAAATGTTTTTTTCGTACTTTTTGGAGAGTGTCAAAAGTTCCATCATCCGAAAAGACATTCTCGCTGACAGACGTAACAAAAACACCCTCTCGTGCCGCTCCCATAGCTCAGGCACTGATTGAGTTTTGTTTTGTTTTTTATCCACAACGAGGAAGCTCTTGGCATGTATCTCACCTGATGGTAAGTGATGATTAGGCCGAAGGTGGAAGCGAGCTTCACCCGGAATCCTCAACCACGGAGGAACCGGCTATCTTACCTCTAACTGACGGAACACAACAATGCTGTTAACTGTGCTGTTAAGCGCTAGACCTAAGTATAGTTGGTAAATGAGAAGGGTCAGTGCTTTTTTATAATTGAAACCAAACGTACCAAGTATCTGTAGATGGAGAAAGGCACATACTCCAGCATGACGAAGACGTCGGCCACCGCCAGCCACTTCAGCAGCCGGTTGATGGGCGCGGCCGCCATGTCGCGACGCGTCAACACCGCCACGTTCATGGAGTTTGCTATCACTCCTATGGTGCATACCTGTGACAAGCAGGAGAAGGTTAACTGGTGGAGAATGCCTTAAGTTAAGTCATTGATTTCGTGTGTAGGTATACAAGTATTACATACGGACGCGATCATCGAAGTTCGCTCGCGAGCCGAGCATTGACGATCGGCAATTATTATTCAATAATTACTAACTTAGCGGTTTGTCACGTTAAATCAACGGACATTTGTTTAATTTTATTATGTCTACCTACTTGTGCTAGGTACTTTCATTACTATCTATCTACTTATAAACTATCGGATGCAAAAGGATTAAGTATTGCTTGGTTAGGTAAATAGTTACCGTTTCATAGAACTCAATGAGATAGGCCTTTGCTTCCCGCAATAAATAAATATTCGATTCCAACTATCACAGTGATCTATCTAACTAAGCAAAACGTGAACTTACTATGTATAAAAAAGTATTTAAGTATGTTAAATATCCGTTGTTTAGTACCCATAGTACAATCTTCGCTTAGTTTGAGACTAGGGGCGCAGTGTAAATTGTTATGCATTTTATTGTTATACGTTATACGTCAATTAATTATATCTACCTGCCATAAATGATCATGTTTTCGAGCCTAAAATAACTAGTGCCAAATCAATATTTGCCCCCAGCGGGATTTAAACCCGTAGCCTTAGAGACCGGCGGAAATAAGCCCCAATAATATCGACACCGAATTATCTATATCCCTAGTGGCTTGACCTAGATCTCTTTCATTGCAAGTTTATTAATATCAAGCCTCTGTGATATTCCATCGTATATTTATAGAACCCCTAATGGATTCGAGCTTTATGCACTTAAACTATATCCAATGTCACGTTAATTATTAAGCGACATGTAGACAAGACAAGCCCAAAATAGTGTCGTGGAAAATCCGAGGAAAGCGGGCTTGAACCGACTTTTGTGGTGAACCCACTCGTAACCCAAGCTTAATTTATCTTAGCACGGGATAGTGGCGGCGTAGCATGGGTTGACACCCGGGGCGACCCCCCCCCCCCCCCCGTCATAAGTCCTAAGGCACCCCCTGTTACCCCCCAGGATTTTGGGGTTACCTACCGATTCGAAGATTGAAAGACAATCGCTAATAGACTTGCCATGCAGATGCGCCAGTGAGTACTAATCTTCTTTAAACCAGTGAGCGACTTGTGTCACCCCCTGATGCTTGACACCCGGGGCGAACCAGGGACTTCTTTAGTTAATTGGGTCGTACTGTTTTGTTTCCATACGCCTTCACTCATGCACGCTCACGAACACTTAATGGTTAATAATCCTCATTAATATTCGGCTTAACGGAACTGCCACACAATATGACGCTTCACTTTCCTTACCCTTTCCTTTATTTGTTTAATTAAAGTAGGACTAATTAAAGTAGTAGGTACTTACAAATCGTCAAATTTTGCTCTTGAGGAGCCTTTACATGTCTCATGATTTTTGCCATACCAGCGCGCTCCGAGACAACATTTGGCAAGTAATAAGAAAAAGCGCCACAACAAACTCAGTCACCATGCATTATTACTTTATGAAAGTTAGATGAAATTCTTAGAAATATTGATATCTTTTGTGAGTTCAACAGAGGAACAGTTATTTCAAAGTGAAACTCTTTCTGAATATTTTGAAATGCACAGTTTTATTTTAAGCTTTGTGAAGTTTTCCAGAAGGGAGATTGTTTTAGAAATTTGATTACAGTTATAGCACGGGGTAAAAAGCTGTGATTACCAACTTAAAAACTAGTTTTAGATAGGATTTTGTACAATTTTACTTAGGCTGAGTTGAACCATCTTACTTTGACTTTAACAAACGTCAAAAATCTGTCAATCTCCATACAAAAAGCACCGGTTAATGTTAAAGTTACGGTCAAAGTAAGTTGGTGCAAGCTTTAGACTTAGCTGTTCTTTAAGTTATTTTTACGTAAGCAGGCATTCAACAAACATACTTATTTATACCTACATAAGCAATTATTGTAATAGTCCAGTTACGTGTGTAAAAAATAACTGTTATTCTAATTATCAAAGACCTATGTCATATAGTCTTTGATTCAAATGAGAAATTGAAAAAAAAAAGAATGAAGAAGACCTTTACTTTGCTTTTGTATTTTCACAAAAGGTTTTTGATAACTTTAACGGTCATACCTATAAGTTGCCGTTTTATTTCTTCTTAAATAAAAAGTATGTACCTATTTGGCTTCGAGCAGAGTCAAATAAACGCTAAAGAAAACAAAGAAAGTAAAAATACAATCACTAACAACTTAATAGCAAACGAGTTACCTTTTGTCGACAAATTGAACGAAAGCGACACATTGTAATGTACAAAATGAATTAATGATCAAGTAAACAAAAACATGTTTTGATCGTGAAACGTAACGAACCGGTTTTACTTTTGACAGATGCTCGACAAGGAGCCCTCTTGACAAAGCGAGTGTTACATTTTCGAGGAAAATTGGAAACAAATGACAACCATTTTTATTTTGCTGTTCCCAAGGATTTTTTTTATCAAGGACAATAGGTAATTAAAAATAAAGTGGAGTATAGCGTGCAACATCATGTTGAGTAGGATTAAATTATCGTCTCTTATTACATTTCTTTAGATCTTAATTTTGACCTTCTTCTAAGACTTGTTGAAAGATGAAAGTGAAAATGAGCCTAAGTAGGTAAGTTTTGAAGAGTTTTTTTCATGGGTATCATTTATCATGGGTATATCCAAATGTCACAAAATGTAAGCTATTTTATTTAACCCGTTTTACCCTCCTAGGGGTGGACTTTAAAATCCTTTCTTAGCGGATGCCTACGTCATAACATCTACCTGCATGCCAAATTTCAGTCCGATCCGTCCAGTGGTTTGGGCTGTGCATTGATAGATCACTATGTCAGTCAGTCACCTTTGAGTTGATATATTTAGATAATTCGATATAATCTTACAGAAAAACTTGCTTACTTGTTGTTTATCATGGAAACCTGAAACAACTGAATCCCTGAATCAGCAATAAATAAAATTAGGAGAACAATACAGTTCCCTAGCTTAAACATAAATAAACATTTTCATGAGAGGAATTTAGAAACCCTGGATTAAAATAAGGTGTCAAGCTACGAGTAAGCTCAAAGGGTGCGCAAAATTGAACGAACGTTGAAAAGAGCTTTTACGACGTGGGTCATAAAGACAACTAAACCTCACGTTTACTGCTTCAGCAGCTTGCGGAATCGTCTAGAAATACTTTTTAGATTTAGATACTTGAGATATATTTAACCTTTCAGTAATATGGTGTACTTTCTTCAACCTATCATTGTACTCATAATATTTGTTTTTTGATTTTGATTTTAACTGAACCTTTTTCAAAACGTTAGGAAATAATGACGAATTATTCAAATGGCAAATACGCAAGCCGCGCGAGCCATTAAAAAGAAACAAAAAATATAATAAAATCAAAGTTTATAATTTTGACGTTTACACGGCCGCCTCCTTGGGCGCGCAACGATGCTACTAAGAAAAACTGCGTTCTTTTTTCAGCGCCGAATATCTACATTCTTTTGTTTTTTCTCTCACCGGATTCTTGATTTTCCTTTCGTTTGCAATTCTTCATCTCGATTTTATAAATGAGTATTCTCGATTTCACCCCGGATCTCGAGTATTAATTTTATCAATGACATTACGAAGCACACATGAAACAACATAAAAAAAACAAAACGTAAAGAAAAACTGCTACTGATCCATGATGATTCATGATCATTCATTGATCATGAGCAGTAGCTCTCGAATTTGAACTTTATTATTTGCTTCTGAAACTCTTTAAAGGTAAGTATTATTCTATTATGTAACTTCTTAGGGTCCGTGGCCGAGTCCCCCAGTATTCGACGCACCCGTGGTTGAAGCCCCCGATTTAAATAAATTTAATATCATATGTACAGTCAACGAAAACCATGCATGTTTGACGCTATTTACAATGATGTATTTAATTTTTTGTTAAAAATACTTAAAACTTTTATAATTAAAACTTTTATTTGTAGTTAGTTAAATGTAGAGAGAGTAGAGTTATTTTAAAGACTGATTGTTACAATTATTTTGATTAGGTAAAACGATTTACATGTTATTATAGGTAAATAAAACCTATGATAAAATATGATAGGTTAAAATAAAACCTATTATATTTTATGGTAAAATAATATTAAACATTTATTTGTACGATCAGTATAAATATTTATTCGTTTATAAATATTTTTGTGACTGACTGTACATTTGATTAAAAATTGCTTCTATCTGACCGGGGGCGTCGACCACGGGTGCGTCGAACACAGGGGGACTCGGCCACGGACCCACTTCTTATAGGTACTGTCGCTAACACATCAGACTTTTGATATGCCGTCAACCGTACATATTCATATTCATATTCATTTATTTATTGCATCACATATGTATGTATGTACAGTAAGGTCTTATAAAATATTTACATCACATAGACCTACAATAATTCCCAGAACAATTGAACCATAGTGTATGTTAACACGATCAAATGATTACTAATACGACACTGTTATACAACCATTACAATTTTATTGAATAATGGCAGTCAGTCTCTTCACTAGGGTTGCCAGATAAAAATAAAGATAAATTTACATAGACAAACATGTGTGAAAAATTACAAAGCAACATGCCCGAGGTGTGCCTGTCAAAATCACCGAGCGACTGCAACTCTTGGGCATTGAAATGTCCAGCAAGCTGAACTTTGGCGAGTACATCGAATCCATAGCGAAAACTGCTGCCAAAAAACTTGGTAACCTCTTGAGGGCAAGGCAGTACCTTCTCCAAGAAGCATAGGCTGCAGTTTTATAAAGCACAGATCCGACCTTGCATGGAATACTGCTGCCACCTCTGGGTCGGCTCTGCCAAGAAACATTTGGCTGCTTTGGATTCGGTGGAAAGTCGTGCCAGAAGACTTATCGACAGCTCCACCCTTGTTGAAGCGGCGCTCCAGGAACTTGACCATCGCCGTAAGGTAGCATCCCTATCGGTTTTCTACAGGCTACACTTCGGAGAATGTGCGAAAGAATTACACGAATTAATCCCACCAGCCCCCTTCCATCATCAGGGAACCAGACGCAGGTTAGCGTACCATCCCTATATTGTTGACATTCCACCAGCTCGCACTAAGCGTTTCGATGACTCTTTTATAATGCGAACAGCTAGGGACTGGAATTCGTTGCCTGCTGCTGTCTTTCCCGAAAACTATAATCCGGGCCTCTTCAAGGCGAGAGTGAATAGGCACTTACAGGGCAGATATGTACCATCCTAGACTGCATCCCACTTAACATCAGGTGCGATTGTGGTCAAATACCTGCCTTGTCATGCATAAAAAAAAAGTTATTTTGTTGGTCTTACAGTTTTACAAGTGATTCAACAACATGTTTCACTAAAATATTGACATGTAAAATATATGTCCAGTAAGTAACGATAGTGTATCAAATTCGGGACAATACTAACAACGCTGTCAAACATTTTTATCTTGTTTTTTATTCATTTTCAAATGATTTTTATTCTACTTGAAAAAGAAAATGCCATTTATTTTCAATTTTCAATGGTAGGTACTTACTTTTATTAGATAGCCATCTTAGTTGATATTGTCACAAAACCAGTAGGTTTTGGGAATCCGGGTCAATAAGTTCTAATTACGAACATTATGCATGTCATGGAAATCTTTTTTAGCTTATGTGCCACCATTGTAAGAAAAAAAAATATCCTAAAAAAATTAATAAATCTGTTGAGTTTCTGAATAAACTAAATAAAATTACTGGTCACGGGATAAGAGCAAAATTTCGGGACTATCCCGGATTCCTGGTCCATCTGGCAACCCTACCTACTCTTCACACAAGTGACAAAAGGATCTAATACGAGTAAGTGTCGATTATCGTTGAAGATACGCTTGTTTCGGTGAACCTCTTAGGGCCCTCGCCCATGGCGACTTTTATAGCGATGCAGTCGCGCTGCGCTGCTGTAACGCGTTAGTAGCGCGTTGGCATCACTTCTGTAGTGCGTTGCAAATGCGACTAACGCGCGTTAGTAGCGATGTTGTCGCTTGTTTACGAAACGTCGATAAAAAGTCGCCGTGGGCGAGGGCCCTTAGGCCTTGTTTCCACCAAGGCGGAGCAGATCGGAGCGGAGCGGAGAATAAGTGTTTTGAATAACGAAAAGTCTTATAGAAAAATTAGTCCGCCCCAGCCTGACATTTATGTGGAAACCGGGCCTTAGAGTCTTTTAGGATGTCAACTCAAAGATTGACGTTGAAGACAATTTGAATAAAGCGAACTAAAGGGTCCTTTATTTTACAAAGGACGTGCTTGCAAGTTTGGTTTAAAACAGTTAGCGGATTTAAATAATATGAACAAAGAGGTTGGATTTAATTTCAATTTGTGTTTTTAAAAGGTTTTTTAGTAAGTTATGAAAACTACGTTGTAACAATCATCACAGTTATTTCGTCGTAACTCGTAACTTATGCAAAATCTTTTATATACTGTAAAATGTTTATAAAAAGGCTTATAATATAAAAAACAAAGTTTTGGGTGTGTAATGATAAAATATACTTTTGATTTTACATACAACCACGTTATTTGCGTATTGCAACTGTATTAATTAAGTAAAGTATGTGAATGAAAAGTAGCGATTCGGAGAAAAACGGGGAAAATATTATTTTTCAATCAACCTACACCGAAAATTAGTGCTCCAGGTGTTGGTTAATTAAATTACTTTTTTTTACTGTGCACAGACATTCACTAGAATGTAGTGAATGTCTGTGCACAGTAAAAAAAAACTAGTACTAGATCATCGGTCCACCTAGTAATTGTCGGCCTGCCCACACTACGTCTTCCAGCTCGTGGTCGCCATTAGAGAATTTTTCTATCCCTAGCTCTACGAGCCATGTGGTCCATTCACTGCCACTGATTGATAGAAGTATATAAAATTTTAAAAACGCCTAACACAAAAAAATCGACTCTAAAAACTAACAAATAATAATGGCTCTATAATTTCGCGTCGGGTCAGACCCTTTATTCAGATTTTCAGCGGTACCCCGAAGCCACATTATTATTTGTTAGTTCTAAGAGTTTATTTTTTGTGTCGGGGTTTTTAAAAGTTTTATTTAAAAAAAAAATTTCATACTATTTGTAGCTAATCGGTAATCTTTAATTCTTTATGTCATATTATTCTACTTTTCAGTTGATATCCATATTGTGGGAGTTGTTAAAAAATATATGTTTCGCCATTTTGTAGCGGCGGCCATCTTGGACTGATTTTCATCAAACATAGCTAAGAACACTCCCGACTAATAATCATCTTTCAAAAAAACAAACACAAAATCGAAATCGGTGGAAGCTATAGGTGCCACAGACAGACACACAGTCACGTTAAACTTATAACACCCCGTCGTTTTTTCGTCGGGGGTTAAAAATACTAACGTAATCCGTACAAGTCGAGCCATTTTTCTACTAATAACTAGGCGTGAATGTATGACAAAAATAAATATAAAAAAGTTAGGTATTAGTTGTAGATAAAATTTCACCCAACGAGGCAGGTCGGCACAATAATAACCATACAACAAATATTTGCCTGATCCATTTCGCCTGGGGACATGTGCCCGATAGTCTGCATTTTACGTAAAGAGTAAACATGAGATAATAACACGATGCCAATATTTTTAATATCTTACGTCAGACCTAATATCACATAAAATATGTAATTACCTACTTAAAAAGAGTTCATGGTTTTCAAACAGTTGATCAGATCATTTATAGTCTTTAAAGTAACTAAATCAAAATTAGTTCATCTGTTTTGGATTTAACGTTTTTGGACAATTCACAACGCGAACATAGCGTTCAGACCCGTGTTTCTCTATTTTATTTAATTGTACCTACCAACTGGAACGCGAAGGTTTAAAATCTTATAAATAAGTACTTACCAAAAGACTGACATATCCATGGATCCCGTTATACGCGTGGACCACATCCCAAACATCTCCCACGCAGTAATCACAGGTCAGGGTAAAATTCATCTTCTTCCTAGCATCCTTCATCATCTTCATCAACGTGGCTTCCAAATCATTCCCGCCATACCGGCTCTGCTCCCTCATCACAGAAACGATCTGGGTCTCATTGATGGAATCCGAAGAGTTTCCAGACGCTGCCAGTATCTCCTGAAAGATGTCCAGCAAAGTCTGCTGGGTTTGCGATTTGTTCGACATTTTGATTCTTATCGGACCATCTGCTTTAGTGTAACGAGGGGCGTTTTGGGCACATCTGGATCGGTATCTGAAACAACGTATTAGTTTTCAATAAATATTTGATTAATTATCATACGCACGGTCAAATAAATTATGTTTACCGATACAATTTGCAAATATCTATCATTTATTTACGAGAGGTCTCTATTTGTTTTTTCTGTACGAATGCTATGATGTTTTTACTCATCACGTAGGAGAGAGCAACGCGATAGCGCCGCGCTCTCTCTGAAATTCAAAATGCCGAAATTAAAAAAAAATACAACGAACCTTTTCTTTTTTGTATGACAATGACTTGGGTTTTGAAAACGACAATAAAAAGCTATAAATAGGTAGGTACTTGTATTCAAAACAACGTGGCGGTTATTTGTATTTTTCCCTTTGCCTTGTAATGAAATTTCAATTTTATTTGTTATTTCAAACGTGTTTATAATACAGCTAATGCCATTATTTTGGAGTAGAGATTGTGTTCATAAAGCATTCAATTTTACTGTTTGTTTTCCTGTTTTTATAGGAGTTACTTAAAGGGTTTCAATCTTTTGTTACAAATTAAAAGTAAACTCTTATTATAGGGGCAGAAAGTTTATTTAGAGAACGAATTATTATTATTATATCGTAAGGAATTATGATTTAGGTATAAAGACTATTCCCACCTCTCGTTCCCACCACCGCAACTCATGTGTAGCCAGGATCTACAGCTTGACCGCCATAAAAACCCAACCAATGATTTTGGTATAGCAAGCAAAAAATGGTGTGTTTGTTTACTTTCATCTTAATAAATTATGGATAAACAAAGAAAAACAATGCAATTTTGCCAAGCAACAGTCGCTAAGAAGCATAAGTTATGTGTCGCGGCAACCTTACTTAGGAACTCTCAACTACTACAGCTACTATAAATTTTATAAGGGTTCCAGATAATTTGCCGCCGTTCAAACACTCGGTGTCTTGCTTTAGTAACGTTTACAACGCTCCTTAACATTTTGTAAGTAAGGGAGAGTCCGCTAATTTGGACCAGTTTTTTTCAATCCCATTTTACACATAGTTTTCTTTTGTTTTTGCTAATGTACATGGTATATAATAAAAGATACATTATTCAACTTACTATTTCATAAGTATTAATTAATATGATTGTTGTATATTTAGCACAAATCAACAAAGTACGAGTTCAGATCTTCGGTCCAATTTAGCCAACCGGTTGGATAATTTGTACCACAGGGTTACTAAATTGAATTTCAATAAATTTCAAGGCTATAAAAAAACTATGGCAAAATATTATACGATACATTCTTAACAAATTAGGAAACGAAAAGGAACAGTAGTTAATAACATAGACAATCGATATTGTTTTACACGTTATCACGATTTTGAGTACAAGTTTTGTAATTCCAATTATCGTAACGCACACTTGTACCTAATCTACTTTGCCAGTCTTTTGCTTTCATTTATTGTTAGTCAAACATAACTACGCTATTATAACTTCAAAATATGATTTACTAAAAAAAATTTCAAAATCCTTTAGTAAAGTTCCATACAACTTGGTGTGGTACAATTTAGCCGACTAGGTGATAGTGCTTTTAAAAAATCGGTAAAAAATATAGCTTATAAATACCGAAAAATGTTTCAAATAATTGTAATCCACACTAATTTACGCTTCTAAATAATATATTAGAAACACCCTGTGATTAAATTTAACAAAATTACAAACTAAACATGTATTGTCAAAAGTTACTTGAAAACAATGAAAAAATACTTTTCAAAATAAAACACACGTGTTTGTTGTCACGGCAAAAACCACATGGCCGATATTAATTTATTTTAGTTGTGTATCGCTGAGTGTTGCAATTACAGACATTCAATAAATACTTTACGAAATATGAGGGTGGTACAATTTACCCGGCGGTACAATATACCGAACTCTCCCCTAATAGTTCGGTAGATAACGGAATTAGTTGTTGCTTTAATCTTTTTAGACTACCCGAAGACTAAGTACGGGCTTTTAGTGTCGGCGCAAATGAGCTACCGACCACAGCCACCGGTGGCCAGCGACGGCGACTTAACACACTTTTTAGTATATTTTGTTTGTATTTAGTCGGCCGATAGTTGGGCCCGATTGTGATTTGTATGAAAAATCGACCGAGTGTAGTTAATGTGTTATGTGCATTGTGCGCACTTTCATAAATGTCCATTACTGATTAACAGCTCGACTCAACTATCGGCTGAGAAAAACCTGTAGTTTGCCCAGGCTTAATGGGTTATTAAAATTTTAGTAGGCCTCCAATTTTGTATCTTGTGAATCGTACCGCCTTTTTTGATTGTTTGTGTGAAGTACATTTTAGAGCTCATGTATGTATATGATTAGTTGTATAAGGAGAGTCTTTGAATGTAGTTTTTTTAATTGAAGCCAGTGACGAGCAAGTTGGTTTGTGTTAGTTAATGCTGAAGGCAATTGCTGCCGACGACGTTTCACAACTTGCGGTAAACTTTTACTTGGATTCACTAACAACTGCCCAAAAATAAATTTAGGCTGAGTTGCACCATCTTTTTTTTTATTTGACCATCTTATTTTACCTTTGACAAAAATAAAAAATCTGTCAAACTCCATACAAAAAGCACCGGTTATCGTCATAGTTACCGTTAAAGTTAGGTGGTGCAACTCAGCCTTAGAGGTTTTTAACTTTGATTTTCAATCATCTAAATTTAGACCACTGAGTTCATGAACCTTTGTTTACAAACATTTCTAATTTTACTTTAGTACGTGAGCAGAAGTTATATGCAGTGAATAACAGGTCAATTTTAGTCATTAGCAGCATTTGTGATTCGGAATACAGATAGGTATAAGATTAGTAGTATACGAGGTTTGAATAAGAAATGCTTCGATGAAAATTGGGGCTCTTTATTTATGCTGAAGATTACAAATTATTCTTGATTTTCGTTGGAAATGGTTAATAACATTGGTAATTCGTGTGCCGAAAATGGTTTTCAGACAAAATTATTAATATCTTAACTCAATATTTAATTTCATTGTGTCAAAATCAAAAGCAGCTTTTCCCTTGAAACCGGGGAGGCGCCTTCAGATCTCGCAACCCACAATAACAAGTAGAAGGTCGATTGCTCAGTTAAGGCCGCGTATACACTAGAGGCAGCCTCGGGCCGAGCGGCTGCCTCGTCTCGAGCGACACAATATGGCTCGGCTCGCGACGACGAATCTGCCTCAGGACTTGGCGTACCGCAGATTGAGGAACAGCGTCCCCAGTTTCTTTGCCCGTATTTACAAACGATGTTTGCTTAAGTGAAGCAGCAAAATGAACGCACAGCGTTAAATAGAGCTCTGTGGTTCGTGTGTCACCCTGTGCTTCCACGTGCACTTTGAGACCTCATAGTAATGTTTGTGAATATGGGCGTAAGAGAAGTCATCGGTTCGGATCTCATTTGATGCTGTCACTTTTTAGGGTTCCGTAGCCAAATGGCAAAAAACGGAACCCTCATAGATTCGTCATGTCTGTCTGTCTGTCCGTCCGTCCGTCCGTCTGTTCGTCCGTATGTCACAGCCATTTTTTTTCTGAAACTCTATGAGGTATACTGTTGAAACTTGGTAAGTAGATGTATTCTGTGAACCGCATTAAGATTTTGATGCAAAAATAAAAAAATAATAAATATTGGGGGCTCCCCATACTTAGAACTGAAACTCAAAAATTTTTTTTTCGGCAAACACATACGTGTGGGGGATCTATGGATAGGTCGTCAAAAATGATATCGAGGTTTATAAAATACTTTTTTTCTAAACTGAATAGTTTGCGTGACAGACGCTTCCAAAGTGGAAAAAAGTTCCCCCCCAACTTCTAAAATAAGAAAATGAAAAATCTTTAAAAAAAACATATGATGTACATTACTATAAAAACTACCAACGAACATTGTTTTGAACAAGATCTAGTAAGTAGTTTTTTTTTAATACTTCGTAAATCGTGAACCGCTTATTACCGCGTAATCTTTCATACAAATAACTTAAATTAAAAAATAATAATTTTAATTTCATAAATCAATGGTACGGAACCCTTTATGCGTGAGTCCGACACGCACTTGGCCGGTTTTCTAGTATTTTTTTAATTGTAACTATTTAATATTATAGTATATTTTTACCCAAAATAAGGCTTTCCTTCTTAAGCCTTAGATTTAATGGAATAGTTTTCAACACTGACCGCAGTAAATACTTCGAGCTCAAATATAAAGTGAAGTTGTGACCATCAAAGGATTATTGAGTCTATTTGATCAGGTATTCCTCAAATACTTGTTTTATTAAAGTACTTACTTGCTTGACAGAGTATTTAACATTGAACTAAACAAGAATATTGAAACCTTTATTACGTGTTTAACGGTTATTTACAACTAGCTGACCCGGCGAACTTCAGTCAGTAAAGAGTTGTTTTAACTCTGAACGTATCCTGTTTGACACCTTTAAATATTTGGTTATTAAATTAAATAATGTTATGAAATAATGCGTGACATGGGTGTCAATTGCGGAAAGTAGCAGAGTTAATACCTAATCTAATAGATAGTACCTACAATATCGAAGTTTTTTGAGTACTTTTTGAAAATGAGTGTGTGAGTTTTGAGTAACTTTTTGAAAATTAGTGTGTGAGAGAATTTTTCAAATCAGTCTAATAGTTTTGGAGCCCCTTCAAATCTTTCCTCTTTTAATATTAGTATAGATTTCGGAGTAGACCGACCGACCATCATAAAGGTAGCAGGAAGGCGCTGGACGCAGGCCCCTACCAAACAATCAACATGGAATTCATTGGGAGAGGCCTGTGTTCAGCTGTGAACGTCCTATGGCTGAAATGATGATGATGATAGATATCGGAGAAACAAAATCCCTTTTTATCCCTTTCCCTTGAAAAAGATCCTTTAAGCATTAAATCATGTACAGCTGCCATCTTAATGAACACTAAATTTCTTGTTAATTCCTTTAAGAGGAAAGGGTTTTTGGCGGGCCACAGAGTATGACGTT